AATGTGAAGTGAGCTGCTGCGTGTCTGAGGAGATCCAGCAGAACAGCCTTGGTCCCCAAACCCAAACCAGACTGCCGAATCCTGCATTTAGACTGCTTCCCTCGTCCCAAGAGGTCTTCTCTAAAGAGGCACACATCCTTCCCTGTCTCCACAATCTCTCAATTTCTCCATTTAAATTACTGATTAGGAAAAATATCAAATTTGGGGTCAGTATGAATTTATGCCTCACCTCTGCAGCTTATTACGTTTGTGGACTTGAACACATAGATATGTGAAGCATAGATATGTGTTTTTGTTTTGTTTCTTCTTAAGACGGGCTCTATGTAGCCCTGGGTGTCCTGGAACTTGCCATGTAGACCACAGTGGCCTCAAACTCACAGAGATCCTCCTGCATCTGCCTCCTGAGTGTGTGCCACAGTTACATAATGTGCATACCTCTGTTTATAGAATAGAGAGGCGGGAGGGAGAGAAGAAGAAAGGGAGGGGGAGGAGAGAGGAAGGGGAAGAAAGGGAGAGAGGGGGAGGGAGGGAGGAAGGAAAGGACGTAGCCGCATGTACTTCAGGGAGGTCCTGTCACGTCACATGAGTTGTATGTAGTGCTTAAGACATCGCCTGTTATCAAGCACATGCCTCGCCAGCATTAGTTATGACTACGCTTTTCCTCTGTTATCTCACGCTCTTGACATTTTTAAGTCTTAGAAAAGAAAAGGCATTGGCTCTTGATTAGGCCGCATACTGTCCACGTAGTAGCGACACTAAATATTTCAGCGACTTCGTCGGGCCTGAACCTTATGTGCATTGTCCTCTTGGCACGCTGCCATAAAAACTATTTCCGCTTTTCATTTGAGAAAATTGAGGCTCATAGGCACATGGCGATTGAGTTCCAGGTGAGAACGCAAAGCCACCTAGATCCAGCTCAGCTTCAAAGCCTTGGCTCCTTCCCACGACCCTCCAGCACGCCTGCAGCAGTTCACTCACTTGCCTGTTCAGTTTCTCAAGAGCAGAGATCTACAGAAAGCGACGGACTGCTAAGAGACAGGGACCTCACATATACTTGGGAGAAATATGATAAAACTAAATACAGTTTTAAAGCAGAGATATATCGTTGGACCTCAGAATTAAAAGATGCTTTCAGAGTCTCCTAACCAAAAAACAAAACAAAACAAAACTAACAAAATAAAAAGTATATTAAACCATGACTTTAAACAATCAACAATAAACGAATTAAAAGGCTTCAGATAATTGTCATTGGTTATAGCGATTTTTTGGCAAAAAAATTTTGTAAAAAGTTTGTTGTAATAACGATGGTCAGAAACCCTTTTGTGAATGCTACATTCCAGAACACTCTATGCAGAGATGGAGGCTACGGCCCAAGTGGCAGAGTACGTGGGTGGGAAATGACTGCTCTGCTCGGGGTCAGGTCTGGCGTCCTGGGATCCGCCTGCACCCCGGACCGGGTACAGAGACCTGGTGTGTGCTCTCAGGAAGGACTCGCTGAATAGGGGTGAGGCAGGAAGGAGCTGAGCAAGCAGGTGGGCGGCCCCGGGCTTTAGCTTTGCTTTGCTCCCATAGGGAGCGCAGGAGCATGGCCTGCGCCGCGGAGTTAACACCAACTTGAGAGCAGCGTCTGGTGTTTCCTCTCAGGCTGTGTCACCCACGCCGCGTGAAGACGGCCTAGTGTTCCCTGGACAGGCAATCTCAAAGAAGACCTTAGCAACCAGTATTCACAGACCTGGGATGGTCTACAGGCCCGAGGGAAGGACCAGGGCAGAGCTATAAACGGTGAACTTCGATTGCACCAAACTTCTCAGGAGTTAATAAGGAATCCCAGGACCATGGAGCTCAGTGGTAGAGGACTGGCTTAGCAGGTACCAAGTCCTGGATTCAGGCCTAGCATATACTACTACCCACAAACAACAACAACAAACAAACAAACCACTGGAGCCATCTGGGCACTTGATTAATGCACATAAGCATCCTTATTATAATGATACACTAGCCACTGTCTACCTTACGTACTCATGGCATCAGTTCAGTCCTCGGTTTACCATCATAGTATGCTCAGGCATTGGCCTTAGGTCTGCCTTGGGAGTCTGGTTCTTTTTTTTTTTTTTTTTTTTTTTTTTCGATGGTGGGAACAAAGGCATGTCTGCTTGTTCACTTGTGAAAGATCATTAAACCTCCCTGGAAGCAAGGCTTAGAAGTCTGTCCACTGAAACTCTGCCCACAATTCGGACAGTGTGTGGAGAGCTTTGCCTTGTCTGTAGCTGATTCACTTTTAGAGAATTGTTACTATTTCCATTAAAAAAAAAACACAAGTAAATGAATGCTACATAGATTCTGGAAAGGGAAATTGGTATGATCTCCATATACAACACAGTGGAAAGTCTGTCCCCTTAAAAAGATTTTTTTTCTAAATCAAGGAAAGTAACAAACCTACAAGACCAATGGGGAGGGGAAACTAGATGTTCTAATATTAAAGGAAGTGAGTGACATAAAAGATAATAAAAGGGTACAGAGCTCAATTAGACGGAATGCATACACTTTTTAAGAACTACAAGTTACCAAACTTACTCTAGAAGACAGATACTGTGGCGGCTCTGTCAGAAACAAGTCAACTTTAAAAGCCTCCCCAAGGAAATCTTTGCTGTACAAATGTGGCCTGTGAGAAACACACCACCCTCTGAGATCTGTCTGCACTGGCCTGTGGCACACAGGCGGCCGCTACTCACCTGAGACATCTACGAAAGGCCACTCACCTGCACACTGTTTTTAATGGCAGCCACTTTGTGTTCCACATTTCTCTGTCTTTCTGAAACCGACGAACTTTGTAAGGATTTCTCCAGAGGTCCCTGGAAGAAGAATGTATTGAAATTTCAATGTTGTTGATAAACCATGTTTATGGTTATTTGACCTACTTTGACCTGGGGTTTAGATCAATGGGATATATAATACTCTACAGCCATTAAAGCTCCCGCTGAAAGAGCTGGGCATATAACCCACCGGCAGAGAATGCACAAGGCTCCAGATTCCCAGCCCTAGAACAGAAAAAAAAATAATTCTTGTAGTGTCCACAGTCAGACCAACTCAGGACGTTTTCGATGCCATGATGGAAACACAAAGGGAATATTAGTTCTGTGTCCTTGTTCCCGTTGGTTTGGGACAAATGGTGGCCGCGCTCAGTGCCACTTGTCCCATACTCGTGCCTCACATTGGGTTCCACTTGTCCCCATCCAGCAGAAGACAAGAAATAAAGAAGAAAAATCAGTAGCTGAAACCTGGAGATCTGACACAAACTGGTCACTTACGCCAAGGAAGTTCATTAAGAAGCACAACATCATATGCACTGTTTGCGGGGAGCGGGAAGCCAAGGTCAGCAGAGAGCTGAGTCAGTGTTGGCAGGGAGAGCACAGGACACCCGGACAGCTGCCTAAGGACAGACAACCACAGTCCAAGGGGAAGAGGTGGGTCCCCAGAAGCCACAACCTTGGCTCCTCTGAGGCACAGGCTCCAGGCCTAACAAGCCTTGATAAGTCCACTCCTGGACAAGGGCACAGAACTAAAGTTTTGTTTTGTCCTTTCATTGGGCCTTAGAGAAAGTCTTGGGTCAGTCTGGCTCTGTGCACTGTAGAAACTCTTAAATGACATCATGTAGACAGTATTACAATCTAAGCTACTAAGCAGATTATAAAACACTAGATGTAATTTCTACTTGGATATGCATGCAGACATATATATCCGTAAGTATATGAATATGTGCATAGATATTTGGAATTAAGTAGATATGGCGAGAACAGCACATATACCAAAATGTAATATTAACACTAAATAGTAAAAATGTGTGCCATTTTATGATTTTTAAAAGATTTTATCTCTCTCTGTGTGTGTGTGTGTGTGTGTGTGTGTGCAGGTGACAGCAGAGTCTAGACATCTGATGCCCTGCAGCTGGAACTATGGGAAGTTGTGAGCTATCCAGTGTGGGTACTAGAAACTGAACTGGGTCCTCTGGAAGACCTCTTAACCGTGGAGCCATCTTTTAGCTCCTACCTTCATGTCTTAAAAAAACGTTCATAATTTCCCGCAGTCTACTTCCATTACTCTTGAACTTCATGTAATTTTAAATTAGTGCTAAAGGATCACATTAACTTAGGCTTAAATTAGCGATGGAGGGTGTTGAACCTGCTGAGATGTGATTTATTTTTGCTTCAAAGCAAAGGGAACTTTCTGCAGGAAACGGAAGAACGATTTGGTTAAGCAGAAAGGCCAAGGCACTCCTGCCAGCACCGTATCTCGGCCACTCTAATCGTCTGACACTGAGTATGGCCCTTAACCGCAAAGGCCTACAGCCATCTGAAGATGAGAACAAGACATGTAAGCGGCCCCTGCACCATGCAGTTGAGCAGAGAACAGGTTAGAAAAGTTGATAACTTGACAGTGCACAGCAGAGCAGTGGTGGGAGCTCAAGGAAAACCATGCTTTCAGCTCTCAGCGGAGTGTTTTAACTGTCTCACATCCTTCAGACCAGCAAAGCCTTCCCTTCCCCCACATCCATCTCCATTATTCCGTGATTTGTCTACCTACTTGAAATTAAAAAAAAAAAAAAAAAACACTTCTCTTTTTTTTTTATAGTAGTATGCAATATTAACGTATTTTCAGAGTTCCTTTGATTAGTATGTACTTAAATGTTTGGATTTGACTAATATTTGACATTTGGAGAGAGCACACATACATGAGAGAGAGAGACAGACAGACAGAGAGAGACAGAGAGACAGAGAAAGACAGAGACAGAGAGACAGAGAGAGATGAGACAGGAATGGATATATATGTGACCGGTATAAAAATGGACAACCCTAAACTGTAGCTTAGAAGCTACAGTTTTCAAATGAAAACAAGACCATTCTGTGTCATCCAAGAATAATAAGTTGCTAAGACTTGAAAGTCTTACAAAAACATCCATAACCTGATAGTAACCAGAAGTTTTATACTCAATATGCTGTTGTTAGATCTTCATAAGTTGTATGATTCACTAAAGTATGAAGAATGTCATTTAGAAAATGTATTGTTTTATGAATCTTTTTCTTGTTGGTTTAACTAAAAAAAGTGCATCTTAGAGACTGTCGATTCCTTTACTTATCTTTGCTAGATTCTTATCACATTCAGAAGAATGAGATAAAAATATACTGTAAACGACATTAGGGCCAAGAACGGTCAAACCAGTACTTAGGGAGCTTCTGTAACTCAAAATTCCTGTTGGAGTAGCAGCAGCTTAGGCTTGGGAGTCAGACGGTCCAGAAGCATCAGTCAAGAGCAGGCTGTGAAGACAGCCAGCCGAGGAGGAGGAGTCCAAAGCGGAACTGGGAAGTCAACTGAAATGTGGTCACTGCATTCCTGGATTGATAGTGTAAGATCTTAGACCGGAACTTAGCCATGGAAACAGGAAGGAATCTAGAGAAGCCAGTCTGGTGCCACAATTCTTGATCCCAGCACTTGGAAGGAGGACAGAAAGATCACAAGGCCAGCCTCGACTACATAGTGAGCTCAAGGCCAGCCTGCACTACATGAGGCCCCGTGGTTTAAAAAAAAAAAAGGAATTTGAAAAGACTTAATAATTATGTCAAAAAGGACAAGAAACTTCTCACAGATGAGCCCAAGACCTTGAGCATGAGTGCCTGGAAGGAGGGTGGAGCCATCGAGAGGGAAGAAGAAATCGATTCTGCAGAAAACTGGACCCGAGGAGAAAGCAAGGTCACACACTCAGAAACCATCACTTGGCAAGCCAGCGATGGGATGGACAATGCATGTGACTACGGATCAGAAAATGTTACCTGGATAGGCATGTTCGCTGCAGCCAGTATTCTCCTCTCTTCCCTTAAACAATTTGAGATTACCACGGCTACATGCATTGGATTTCCATGAAACTTCCCCTGAAAAATAGTAAGCAAAAGCAGCATGTCATGCTTTGATGTCATAAGGGAATGTCATACTTGAAAACCAACAATAATCTCCCTTTAAAATTATTTGGGATCTGTTCCAATAATCTATTCCTTTGCAATGCCTTGGACACCTGGACTCCTAATGAGAGAATGTTGCTCTCTTTGCTTTCAAGACTCAATAGCTGTTCTTTGAGCACTTCTTTATGAGAGACCTAGAACACAGGAGGTGTGTTTATTTTAGGTACTAGGCAGGTTTAGACATGGTGGTTATGTCCTATGAATTCTCAAGAACCAAGAGGGTCCTCGTTGTACATGTGATAGCTCTCTGCTATGATCTGCAGGTGATGGCATTCATGCCAACTACCTCATAACACTATACTCAAGCAAAACTATACCCACATTTCAGCAATAATATTTTTGATATTGAGGAACGCGTTTTGTTTTTATTGCCAAGGTTAACGATGCATACATTGTTAATTGGCAGCCCGAGGCACTAATTGAACCATCAGATACATTGTTGTAAATGAAAATCATGAATTTCTTCAGGTTGTCGTGGTGCCCAGCAATGAGTGTGCACTCATTTTTCTTACCTGCAAGCACTGAGTTTTCTAGCCTTGATTTACAGGACTCTCTGGAACACCATCATTTAGATATTAGTGTGAAAAGGGCTTTGCTAGAGTTTTCTGAGGCAAGATTAGCAAGAGGCACAGAGACACAAGCACACTAACTGAATCTCTGCCATCCTTTCTTGAGGTGGAACTGAGACCCATGAAATGGACAAAAGGTCAATAGCAAAAAAAAATTAACAGTCCAAAAAGCAGAAAATTAACACTGATCAAATATAGATCATACAGGCAGCTAAACCAAAGGATCTTTCTGGGGAGAAAAATGAAGGTTGTTGGTTGTAAACATTATTACAGCTGTGGCTTCTGTGATAATATATCAGATTCTGTGTCAATTAATATTTCCATTTGTGAAACTGGGGTAAAAACCAACTATTTGGGTTCCTATGCTTCCATATTCACTCTTTAAAAAATGTTTTCCTTCTTTAAATCAGAAATTTCCAGCAGAAAACAAGGGAATTAACTGAAACTCAGAACACACAGATATGAAAGTGACTCCACTCAGTTTGTGGGAATACCATGTTTCTAAAACATCCATATTACAGAGTCTATTTGAATTTACTCCTGTTAATTTTGACATCTCTTGGTTCTTTTCATACAGCTTACCTTTAAGTGTTTTCCCCCAAACCTATGTTTTCTCATCTTTGACCTGAAGGGCATTAAAAAATTATTTCATTGCTAAGAAAGAGTTCCTTTTAGGGCTAACTTGGGAGCTCTGCTATTGATATTAATTGAGAATTTGTCCTTCTGCAATGAGGGTCCCTCTAAGGCTGCAGATGCACGGTGCTGTCTCTGTTCTTCTCAGGATGGAGGATGTCCATGGAGGAGCTGTCCTCGACACTGCATGCTGAGCTCATCTTCTGTCTCCTGTCAAACTCAGCTTCACCACTTTCTTTCCCTCTGCCTTCTTCCATGTCTGCTGAGGTTAAGTCACTCATTTCTTTCCACACTTTTTTCATTGAAGAATACATTTTCACTTCTCAATTCCCCCTAATGTAATGTCTCACTCAAATGTTTGAGACAAAATGTCTTATGAAAAATCACTGTGTTCAATATCAAATGACTATTTCACTTTCCTAAGTATTAAAAGACATGCTAGCCGGGTGGTGGTGGTGGTGGCGGCGGCGGCGGCGGCGGCGGCTGCTGCTGCTGCTGCTGCTGCTGCTGCTGCGGCGGCGGTGGTGGTGCACGCCTTTAATCCCAGCACTCAGGAGGCAGAGCCAGGTGGATCTCTGTGAGTTCGAGGCCAGCCTGGACTACCA